TATTCTTCAGGATTTTAAAATTCTGTCCTGAGGTTCTACAAAAATACATCATACAGAATACATCTACAAAAATACATCATTCTCTGCAAGAATTCTTCTCTCTTCAGACTAAGGTTATTAGTAAAAGGAAGCCACTAAAGATTGGTTACAAGTTCTCATACCCAGTTACTCAGATTTTCTTTCCCAAATTTCTTTCCTACATACTGCTTTAGAAGTTAAAATATTTTAGGCATGTTGGTTATGGTAGCTTTACTTTTTATTGTAAGCTAAGAAGCTGGCTTAACAGTACACACTTAAAATGTTATCCTGAAATTTCTACATTTGAACAAAAGATTCCTCCCCCTATTGTTCATTGTTATAATAAAAGACTAGTGCTCCACAAACTACAATGTAGGGAAGATTCAGTTCACAGTTTCTGTTAATTAGCAGAATTCATTGTTTGTATTATTTACTATATTTGATCCTACTGCATTGTAATGTATGTTTGTTGTTAGGAAGACTTCAGTACCTCAATATCATTCTTGAAGTACAATTTTGAGATAATTATGCTTAAATTTTTATATAAAAATAGTATGATACATATTTACCGTTTTCCCCCAAGGTACTTTCACTAATATCCCACAGGGTCCCTATAACAGCCCTGAGACTATTATCTCATTTTTATTGATAAAGGAACTAAATTCAGAGAGGCCAAGTAAATTTCCCAACAGTTTAGTGGCACAGTGGGACTAAAACCTCATGTCTACTTATTTTTTCTCCAGTACATATGTTACCACATATTTTAAAGGCTCCTCAAGTTGGCCATTTCTCACTTCAAACTTTCTTCATAATACAGTGAGTACCTTTGCTGCTACAGCTGACTAGATAAATTACTGTTTTAGAGAGTTTTTCCTCTAGTTTCACATGCCTGCCTGATGAATATTCTAATAAACTACGCTTTGCTACAGTATCATTTGAGATAAAAATGACAAGTTGCAGTTCCTGCATTTGTCATTTTGTTAATTTGCATAATAAAGTTCCATTAAAAGTCTAAATATATCATTTAATTATATTAGTAAGAGGTTAAAGTTAAAATTGCCCAATGTACATAGAATTCTAATACCATTCTGTAAAGGCTCAGAAGCCTTAAGTTCAAATCAATATTTAGTGTAATTATTTATAAAGGAGTTTCTGTATCTGATGCTATGACCTGCAGTTTCATTATTTGATATTCTCTTAATTAAATTTTGCTGTTAGAGGGGATTGTAGACATTATTCACTTCAATCTTCTAGTAGGTATCTTCTCTGACATAAGTACTTTTTGAACAGTTCTAGCAAGGATGAACTCAGGTACTTTATGAGATAGTGTAATCCACTCGTGAATAACTCTGGTGGTTAGCAAATGTTGGAAATTTTTGTTCCAAAATCTAGCTCCTTATATTTCCCAACTATTTGTCCTAATTCTGTCCTCCCATACAAGGAAGATACTCTACTCAGTTTTTCACATGACAGTCTGTCAAAATAGCTGAAGACTTCTCTAATTTCCTTTGACTCTTTCCTATTCTAGACTAAGAGTCCTTAATTTGATTTATTTTTGCTCATATTATGTGAGTTTCTATCAGGATTACCTTTTTATGATTATATTTCATTTGTTAGAGTCTTAAGTTTTTTCCAAATTGAACAGAGTACTCCAGAGTTTGAAATGACCTGTGTAATATTTGATGGGATGGTTACCTGCCTTATACTGGGTATTTAAATATATGCAACCTGAGTTCTTTAATTTTGAAGAAACTGCATCACAGTATTAGTTGATTTTGGATTTATAGTCACCTAAAGCCCCTTTGCAGGAGAGCAGTGGGTACGTTTGGATCCTCTAATTTGTTCTTATTGCAGTTGAACTTTTCAAACATAAGTGTTTAGACTTTACAGTTACCCGTATTATGTTTCATCTTCTTTTGTTTATTGTGGTAGTTTGTCAGTAGCTTTTAATACATTAATTTGTTTTTAGCATACTAGCCTTGTCTCTCAAGTTTGTATTATTTGAGGGTTTCTTAACCAACAGATTTTTTTTTTAATAAATTTATTTATCAATTTTTGGCTGGGTTGGGTCTTTGTTGCTGTGTGTGGGTTTTCTCCGGCTGTGACGAGCGGGGGGGAGTGGGCCACTCCTCGCTGCGGTGCGCGGCTTCTCACTGCGGTGGCCTCTCTTTGTTGTGGAGCACGGGGCTGTAGGCGCACGGGCTTCAATAGTTGTGGCTCATGGGCTCAGTAGTTGTGGCGCCTGAGCTTAGCTGCTCCGCGGCATGTGGGATCCTCCCGGACCAGGGCTCGAACCCGTCTCCCCTGCATTGGCAAGCGGATTCTTAAACACTGCGCCACCAGCGAAGTCCCAACAGATATTTTTTGATTGTTTACTATATGTAGGGCACTAGATATGTTTCTTTTCCTTATTGTATTGATAGTTTGGGGCAGTGGGGGAGGACTTGAAATTTATTTTGAATAAATGTTTCCATGAATTTCCAATTTATTGATATCTTAGAGAAAGAAAAGGAACTTGCCCTACCCCACATTACAACATAATAAAACACTCCAGTAGTCATGAAAACATATGATACTGGTCCAAGAACAGACAAGGAGACCACTGGGACAGCATAGAGAACTCAGATCAGAACTTAATAAGATAAACTGGCATTATAAATTGATCAGTTAAATATAGATTGTTCAGTAGATGGTGTGGGAAGACTGGTAAGGAGAAAAATAAAATTGAGTTCTTACATAATACTGTTTATAAAGAAGAACCTCAAATGGATTAATGACCAACATAATATAGATAAAATTATAGAGTTAATGAAACATAGTACATTTTTGTGAGTTAATATTTGCAAATTATTTCTTAAAACCATAAAAGCATGAAACCATAAGGTGAAAAAATGATTAATTTGATGGTAACAGCATTAAAAATTTCAGTTCAGTAAATACATGGACATTGTTAACAGGTAGGTAACATTTGGCGGAAGATATTTGCAACAACTAAACCTGTTAATGAATTAACATTAGAATATCAAAGAAACTCCTTCAATTCAACAAGAAGACTGAGACCCCAATAGACAATGAACAAAGGAAACAGGGAATTCACAAAAGAAGAAACACAAATAATGAAGGGATGCTCAAATTCATTAGTAATAAGAGAAATCTAAATAAAACAAGCTTTTAGTTTTACCCACTGGGCTAGCAAAAATTAGAAAGCAAAGCTGGATAATGCCAAATC